GGAGATACTATCTTTATGGCACGAAATGCACCATCTTCACCGATCATAAGAGCCTTCAGCACATTCTCAACCAAAAAGAACTCAACATGAGGCAGAGATGATGGGTTGAACTACTGAATGACTACGAATGCGAGATTCGCTATCACCCAGAAAAAAGAGAATGTAGTAGCTGATGCCCTTAGTCGGAAAGAATCCTCAGGTCGCCAAGTGAAATCCTTAACCATGACGATCCATTCACATCTGTCCACACAAATCAAGGAAGCTCAGAGGGGAAGCCTTGAAAACAGAGAACGTGGCAGGGGAAGCCCTAAGAGGAATGGACAAGAATCTTGAAGTCAACGGTGACGGAGTTCGTTACTTCATGGATCGGATCTGGACACCGAAGTTTGGTGGATTCAGAGACGCGGTCATGAACGAGGCGCATAAGAATCGATACTCCGTACATCCAGGTTCATACAAGATGTATTTAGACCTCAAGAAACTGTATTGGTGGTCAAACATGAAAGCGGAGATCGCTACCTATGTGGGCAAGTGTCTGACTTGCGCCAAAGTCAAGGTAAAGTACCAAAAGCCATCGGGATTTCTTCAACAACCCGAAATACCCGAGTGGAAGTAGGAATGGATAACCATGGACTTCATAACCAAAATACCCAAGACAACAGGTGGACTAGACACCATCTGGGTAATCGTAGATAGATTAACAAAATCCGCACACTTCCTGCCAATAAAAGAAACCGACAAGATGGAGAAGCTAGCTCGAACCTACATCCAAGAGATTGTACGACTACATGGTGTACCAATATCCATTATCTCCGCCAGAGATAGTAGGTTCACCTCACGATTCTGGCAATCGTTACAAAAATCTCTAGGAATGAGGCTCGACATGAGTACTGCTTACCATCCACAAACCGACGGTCAAAGTGAGAGGACCATACAAACCTTGGAAGACATGCTAAGAGCTTGTGTAATCTATTTTAGTAAAGCATGGGATACCCATTTACCACTAGTCAAATTTTCATACAACAATAGCTATCACTCCAGCATTAAAGTTGCTCCATTTCAAGCCCTCTACGGATGGAAGGTCCGCTGGAATGCAAAGCGAAGACCTGAATACACCTGGGAATGCGAAGATCAGATGAAACACAAGTACCCACATCTTTTTCCCTAATCCACAAGTGTTTTTATTACATTAAAATTCGGGACAAAATTCCCTCTAACGGGGGGATGATGTGACAACCCGATATTTCGACTCTATGTAATGACTTAAAAGTCAAGTATTGTAACCACTTTTGATATAATGAAATTAACTTCAAAACATAAAATGTGCAAAAGTCTCTATAGGTATATCTATTATGCTAGATATTGTGTCATGTTTTACAAAAATACTAAGAATACTAAAATCCGAGTTATAACGAAGAAGTTATGACCATTCTAAGATTTCCGACAAAACCGGCAACACCGATTAATGAAAAATGAGAATTTTCAATACAATAGTTTTTAGTTTTAAGTATCTAAATGAAAGTTGTAGATATCATTAAACCATGAGCGTACATAAAAAGAACGTCCATATCTGACTTCGTATGAAGAAGTTATGATTTTTCCAAGATCCGGATATAGCAGTAGACAACTAAAAACTCGAAATAGAGATCAAGAGACTTTTGACCGAAACAACCTAAATAAGAATTGACGGTCTCAACCAAAGTAGCGCAATGGTAAAAATTCTGACGAATATGGTCAGCGGATGAAGGAGTTATGGAATTTAAACAGACTTTTCCAGGTCCGGCCTGTTAAAAATAAATAATAAAAATTAAAATCAAAATTAGACGACGAAGTCTAAATGAGAGTTGTAGAGTATATTCTCACCTACGCGTGCATATAATGAACGTTGAAAAAGGATCTCGTACGTGAAAGTTACGGATTTTACAAGTTCGAGACCCAAAATCCGAGGCTGTTAGGCTTGCCACGACGTGGCAACATGACTGATTGCGTCTTGTCAATGGAGTAGGATAGGATTGTGGAAGAGGATAGGATCTACTCCCCACGACGTGGCCATCCTTTTCCACGACGTGGCACCCAAAATCTACCCCTATAAATAGAACTCTTGGGGTGTCGCGTTTAGGTGCTCCATTCTTCTATCTCTCGTGCTGAAACTCTGTGGTTAAGCTCCCGAAGCCCTCTTGAAACCCCGGTTTTCACACTCAAGTTCCGAAGGAAGGTTCTACACTCCTGAGACTCCCGAGATTCCCAAGAATCTTGAGAAAAATCAACTTTTCCAAGTCGAAGTTCTGCTTGATTTTCATCTCGCTTTCTCCAATCTATCAAGTGAGTTCATACCCCTATAAACTACACTTTCAAATGTTTTATCAATGCTTTTTATACACTTTTAAGGGGGGGGGGGAATACAAGTAAACACACGGTTATTATCGTGTGTAACATAAAGTTTCACTATATACTCTTTTTATCAAGTAAATCATATATGATTCATAACTACTACATGGGAACTTTTGTATGCAATATATATTCTCGATAATATCTTGTCTTTTAGAAACAAAACATGTTTATATATTTATACAAATAGAAAACTTTATTTATACTTTAAGTATATGTGATCATTTATGTCACTTTAAATGTTATACTTTACATAACAAGTAAGCATTACACTAGGATTTACTATACGAACGAAGCACACGCTTTAAAAAACTATAATAGGTATAGCTTATGAGAAAATCATGAACATTTACATACTAGAAACACTATATCAAAGAGATATTTTCATACACAAGAACAAATGGACATTTTCATACGTAAATCTGTTTTATACTAAGTTTTGTGAGACATTTCACATACTTTCGAGTATGAATTTTAAGTCCTGTATTATATACCAAAATCCCTTGTAGGGGGAGTGTGATACTTGTGTATAGATCTATACGGGATTGACAATCCCACACCTAAGCTGTTAGCTACAGTTAGGCCGGCAGGCCTGGGGTGACAAACGTCATAACTTTCCAACGCCTGAAGAACGTTGTTATAGGCATCCTGGTCAAATAGTATGGTTATAAGACTCATATGGAGTATTAAAAACACATTGATTTACGGGGTTTTTCAAATGCCTTAACGATTTATACATAAACCTATTATTTTAGGCATGAAAAGCACTATCGCACTACAGTTTTGGAACAATTAAACTACCATCTACTTTAGTAGAAAATATGGGATTTTCTAGGAACATTTAAACATGTACAAACCATTTTCATTCTATTTCATACAAACATTGTCAATAAATACTTATGAACTCACCAGCTTAAATGTTGACCTACTCTTTCAAAACCACTTGTATTTCTCAGGGATTCAGTAATACAGGTAAACTACAGCTTTTGAAGAAGGGATGCTCCGGCGTTACTTTAATTTCATTTTGACATCATATTGTAATTTCTTTTTAAACAAGTACTTTTCTACAATGTGAAATTTCAAATTATATATATGATGGTTGTGTTACTTTCTTTACTATATATTCAACTGTATCGATGCTACATGAAGTCATCCGCCCTCAAACGATTCCGCCGTTCTGGTTTTAGGGGTGTGACAGCTTAACTTCAACCTTTATTGGTTAAAGGTATTAGTCTATGTGTAGTGACTACATAAGCTTTCCTGGATAGATTTTAGGTTTAGGCTGCAAAACATATTATGCCATATAAACTAGTAGATCACCTTTTCATATCTCATGGCTTTTCACTAAGACTTGGGAAGCCACAAATATACTATAACATGTATTGGCTCAATTAAACATTAAAGCTCGCATTGGATCATCCCACATAACACTAGCAACTTTAGTCTAAACTATTACTAGATTCAATTTTTTAGATTATTATTTCAAATCCATTTCTAAATTTTTCAAAATCTTTAATTTTTATAGTTTTCTAGCAATTTACTTTTTCGACCCCCAACCCCACACTTATTACATACAATGCCCTCATTGTATGCATAGAATAAATTAAAAGCAATAAAAGGGAGAAAAAAGGAGCAGACTCCCCTAGGTAGAAGTGACGAGATCGATTCTTCACAGTGTGGAAAACATGAACATCTTGACCTTGGACTTTCTTTAAATATGAACTTGGGTGTTTAATTAGTAAGATAAGTGAATGTGCACTACAAGAAAAAGACCCTTTTACGACGTGCAAACCACGACACTCGGTGATTTATATTACGCAAAGGAGAGTGACATTAAAAGAGTGTCGTCTATTCAAAAAATTGAAGGATTTAGGTCACGCATTATTGCGTGCCCTTAAATACTGGCTCATGTAAAAAAATTAAAAACATGGAGGGCACTCGTGCGTCCTCTGTGAATGTCGTTTTATATTTTTTTAAGAAACGCGCGTCTCTAAGAGGGAAAATGAAATCCCCAAAATTTTTAAACACCCGCCTTCTTCTCCTACATTCATTTCCATATGACTCTCATATCTACCCTACATCGTCTCCACCTCTCACCCACATCCACTGCCTCACAAAATTTTCACAAGCTAACAATTCCAGAGCCTACTAGCGATTGGGGGTTATTTTCACATCTGCTCTACTTCCCATCGTCCATCTACTTCTGCCCTAGATCCGACGATTGAAGAGTACAAATATGTGTAGGGTTTTATTTTATTTTAAGCTTCCAGTTCTCCTGTTTCCGTGGTGATCGACCGGTGGTGAAACGATTCAGCGCCAAAAAAAGAAGCAGCTCTCCATTCTCTTCTCGATTGAGATTTCTAAGGATTTACATCGGTATCTCAAACGACTTCAACTCTTTTCACAGATTTCTTCCCATATGATTTTATGATTTTAGATTTCTTATTGGCGACTCATTTCCTCTCCCATCGAGTTAGAAATTTTCACTCAAGGAAGTAATGGCAGCGGAAGATGATGAAGGGCCTTCAATGGTGCTTTGTTTATTACACTATGGTAGCGGAGATGACGGTGTTGTTGATAGCCCTAAACAATAGTCATCTTAAAAGAAATTATCAAAGAGAAAGGTACGTATCAGTTCTAGAGTTCTTATATAAAATTAGGTCATCTGTACCCTTCTTATATAAAATTAATGAAATCGATTTTAAAAGCAAGCCATAATATCGATTTTGAAATCGAGCCCCAGATTTCGGAATATAGCCCTGCCTGCTACCATTAAAATTCACCCTTGCTTCTGATTTTTTAGCTTCCTGATCAGACCGACTCCTAGAATTATTCCCCACAAACCCTTTGACTTCCGAAACATCACCCCCATCCTTGTTCTTTCCCATAACCTTGTTACTTTTCCAACTTTGCCCCTGTTCAATCTTTGAATCATTAGACGTTCCTTTCATTAGCTGAATATTCCCATAATACCCCTGCCCATTTTTACCTCCTGTCTTCCCACCTCTATCAAAACTAAATTCCAAATTTTCCTGATTATTCCCATTATACCCCTGATAGCGAATTCCAACAGAAGCCCTAGAATTTCCAATTTTCGGATAATTCCCTTTTTGCCCCTGCTTGCGGTTTCCAGCAAAAACCCCTGAACCTTCATTTTTCAAGAAATTCCCTTGATGCCCCTGACTCGAAATCTGTTTTCCCCCCTGTAGCTTCTTTTGAAAAAAAATTCCATTATTTCCTTTGGTTTTCTTGACCACATCAACAAACCCATCATTTTGTTCCTTAACTTCTTTAGTGCTAGCAAGAAGCACTTGCATAAGATCCACAGTAGCTCCTTCTTTTCCTTTCTCTATTTTACTTCTCTCCTCTTCTTCTTTCATCTGAATAGCAGTAACATCAATCGAGATTAGTGGGAATTGGTTTTTATTTTTTATAGTTGATACTTGAGAAAACCTTATATGTTTTTTTTTATTTTGTGAAAATTAATTCCAGGTGAAAACAGAAAATGGTATGTTGTGTTAGAAAATGACAATCATACCCTTGGTCACAGTAGTCTCATATCATTATTTCCATTCTCACCTTCACTCCAATGCCCATTATTAGAAGAAATCAATGAGCTCCTAGCCACCTGCTGCTGCTGGAAGTCGGTCTGATAATGAGATGAAAGATGATTGTTGCCAACCATCCTTGAAGGATTTGCAGCATAAAGTTTCTCTTGGTCATGTCGTACACTGTTATATAGTTCATGGTTCAGCATAAAGTGAAAATTTTTGCTTCTAGGTCATCCAAATGTACAATGTGATTTTTCATAACATCAGGTACAAATGTAGATTTTTCATAACAGCAGTGAAAATCTTAATCAGTCGAATGTGTGTTTCATAACATCAGGTACAAATTTACAATGTGATTTTTTTTATTCAATTACAGGGTAATCTTATTCCGGAAGGCCATAAAGTTCTTATCTTTTCCCAGAGTTGCATAATGCTTGATATTATTCAGGTTTGTTTCAATGCCTAACTAAATTGGCTATGTTTCTTGTTCTTTTTCTTAACCAAAGTTTATCAACTTTGTGAATATTATTCTGACTTGTTTTGATATTTATTTTTGATATTTTGTTCTTAATGTTGGTTCTAACTTCTATTTTTTTTTTAAACAGTTACAAGGGACCTGAATAGGGGTTTTCTGAATTTGTAGTGATGGCTGTAGACACTGAAGATTTTGAAATGATTTCCCATATTCCATTCCTTACTAAATATAAGGTATGTTTCCCATATCCCATATTCCATTCCTTACTAAATATAAGGTATGACACCTGAAATTGTACAAGGGAGGGGCCATGATAAGGCCGCTGATTGGTGGAGTGTTGGAATTTTAATGTATGAAATGCTTTCCGGAAAGGTTGGTGTGCTGTCACCCTTAATTACTTTTAATAAATCACTATTAAATTCCCATTACTTTTAGCGTGAGGGTGATAATGTAATTTTGTTCGACATTGTATCTTTGCAGCCTTCGTTTAGAGGTGGAAACAGACAAAAGATTCAGGAGAAAATAGTGAAGGACAAGATAAAGCTTCCAGGATTCTTGTCAAGTGAAGCACATTCGCTTTTGAAAGGGGTAATGTTGTAATTTGTAATACTATATGCATGTGTTATAGTTTTTGGTTAATATTATATGCATGGGAATACAACAATTTCTGTTTTGAGCTTCTCACCTGATGGAGAGGTACAACCGTTCAAGCTATTTTAATACATGATGAAACAGAAACACTACAAGTTTTATATATATATATATATATATATATATATATATATATATATATATATACGGTAGGGGTTGATAGCTTTCTCTTAGCTTGGTTGAATGATAAGATGGTGGTCATTAGGATCTATGTGATCAGAATTTCCCTGGTGCTCCAACATTTTTTCCAGGTAAACCCATCTAGCCAGACCTCTACATTGCCTCCTACAAGGTCTGTTACTTGTTATTATGATTTATGATTATGAGGGTATTTAGGTCATTTACTCAGAATTTTGCATTTTCAACTTTACAAGTAAATCACACTTGCTTGGCTAAACGTTATTCTGTATGCTTTCAAACTTGTCTTCTTCCTGAATTCTTTTTCTTTGTAAGTTTAGCCTTATTCTTTTCTTCAATTAAGTGTTGTCTGGAGAGTATTGTATGAACAACAATAAATCAACATTTTTTTCCTTCTTTTTCTTGTATGAACAATACATAGTCATAGTTTGACTTAATTAGTTGCTTATTTTTTTTTATTAGTTGCTTGTTTTCTAGCTTATTATAGTCACTGATTGGTTTCTTGTTATGCTTAAATCTTAACAGCTATCATGGCAACCTTGGACAGTAGTTTTGGACCGGCACCTTCTTGCAAAAGATATCATGTACGTGTTCTTCTGCTGCTATTATGGATTCGGGAACATCCTTGCTTACTGGTCCAACTGTATGTATCTCACGTGAAGCTATTGTTAGAATTATTAATCTTAGAGATTTCAAGTTTTTCATATTTCTTGTATCTAATTAGTTTGTAAATTTCCGTTACAACTTTTATTGATTTGTTTTATCTTTCCATGGAACGATTATTTGTATGACATTATATTTTGTGCAATGGCTTGTATTTTTGTATATGATATTTTATTTATTAAGAGACATTAAATGAAAATTTAATTTGAAAATTAATAAATCTATAAATAATATTTTTTTAAAACATATAAAATTATGATACGCAAAAATGTGTGTCATGTTCATTTATGACATGGCCTTTCTTGACAGGGGCTTTCTTGATACGCATTGCGTGTCATTAACACGCGCGTCGTAAGGTTACGACACGCGAATGCGTGTCATCTTCCTTTATGACAGGGCCTTCCTTGATACGCATTGCGTGTCGTAAACACACGTCGTAAATGAGCGTCGTAAATGCGCGAAGTCTATAGACGACGCGCAAAAGCGCGTCGTCTCTCTTTATGACAGGGGCATCCATGACGCGCATTTGCGCGTCGTTTGAGCGTTTTACGACGCGCAATGAGCGTCGCAAAAGGCTGTTTTTCTAGTAGTGGTGCGAGAAAAATATGAATCCGAGACTTTAATCTTCAACAAATGTAGTGTAGAAAAGCTTCAAAGCATATGGACCAATGTAGCAAAGCATACGCCACATTGCATTGTATAGAGAAGAAGAAAAATGTAAGTTCTGCATTCCACATCGTGGCGTAGGAATACACGATGTTGATTTGATTAATATTGTCTTCTGAATTCGTGAATTAAACTCAATCCACGACGTGTTTTTGGTGTCCACATCGTGGAAACTAGGCATCACGGAAAGCACTTCTTCTATAAATGAGTGTAGTGTGAACTTGTATCTTAATAGATTAAGACCCTTTTTAACTGTATATTCTGTGACTCTTCTCTAACTCACTTCTCTATCGATTAACCCCACACTTATCTAAGATTGTGGGTCTCAACTCATAACTCTAAATGACACGGCTTCGCTCAAAAACTTCTAACTCTTAACTTCTCGCTCACGAAAACTCACAAAATCTGCAACAAAACAAGTTATAGAGAAGAAAAGAAAATACTCATCCATCATCCGAGTACAAGTTCCAAACAAATAAAAGGATAAACAAACAAGTTCAAAAACCAAATAAAAACATAAAAATAAAATCGAATAATCTTCATCATCGCCTCGAGCTCCACTAGTTCCTGCCTCGTTTCCTTGTCTTGTCCATAGCTCTTCCCATGTTGGAATATACAAGCAATGAGGTGGTATCGTGGGAAGTTGCTCTATATTCAAATGTATAGATAAAGCATCGAGCATTTGGGTGTTATAGTTAACACCTCTGCGAAGATTGTCCAAATATGAACTAACTCGGCTTTGAAACGGATTGGTCGGTATACCACCCTCAAATGGTTGAGGTGGTTGTTGTGGTTGTCCCCTCTCTCCTCGGGGTCTCACATTCTTCCACCTAGGCCGAGGTTGTTCTCCTTGTTGCTCTATTTGTTGTTTCTCATCCTCCGATGGTATCACATAAACTCCTCCGACATTCACTCTAACCCACAGGACACCCAAAACTTGGATATTTAAGTCACTATCTTAAAAGCGCATGAGATTCCTAATAAAATTAGGAGTTAAGATGCCATAAGACCGAGAAAGTCGGGTAACTAAGTGTCCACCCGTGATGGGACTACCGGGTCTAGAGTTATTTGCCTTTCTACCCATAAATCGCACAAGCATATACGGATTGTCACAAAAAACACCGGGGGTGATTATGCTCCACAAATGAAACAAGTTTTGAAGAGGCACTTTATCTTCATGATTTTTATGATTGATCGTGAAGGTAATGAGGCGATGCAAAAAACGATACACGGGATTCTGAATTTGTCCTTCGCATGCATCACTAGAATTGTACTCGTAATTTGAAATAGCCCTCAAAAACTATACATCAAGAAATTCGGAAGGTGAAGTCTCGAACACACCCCTGCAAGAATAGAAAAAAATGGTGAGAGTGTCTCCTCCTTAGTATAGAGTCCCATGCGCCATGCAAATTCTCGAAGAATGCATTTGTGGTACACACCTCCCAATCTAAAAACAAGTGCCTAGTTGTAAGTGGAATCTACGATGTTATCCCCAAATCTCACTGTGGCAAAGAAATCCACTGATAATTCCTGATAAACGGGTTCTTGAATAGAAAATAGATTCCTCCACCCGTTACAAGTAAATGAAAAGCCATACCCCACAAACACTTTTTTCCAATATCTCTCCAAATCCATAACCATACCAACCCCGCGTAACCACGCCCAATCCACAGTGGGAGCAACTGCAAACTCATGGTTATATAACCATCCCAAACAATTTTCATAACTATTCAACATTTCATGGGAAAGATTTTGCGGAAACCGGTATAACGGGTGAATACTTGCCGCATCAACAGGGTCTTGTGCTTGAGGAACTACACTTCGAGGACTCGTTTTTCCTGAAATGACCAACAACAAAAAAAACAAACCAAAAAAACCAAGATATCAAATTGAAAAGCAAAATAGGAAACTGATCGCCCAGTTTCCACGTCGTGGGTTTCATCTCCACATAGTGGACCTGGTTCGAGACAAGATTATGGAACGGTCCAATCGTGGTCAAAATTCATCAAGTTATGGTCTTATGTCACACATGCATTCGAAAATAACCAACCAATGTACTCAATTTGGGTATTTCATCTCTAAAGAAACCCTAACCACCAAATGCACAAAACATGAAGAAAACTATAAGATTATTGGATGTAATACTTACCAAATATTTTAGGAGACAAAAGATGTAAGAATTTTTGGAAGAAAATGATGGAAAGTAGCTGAAAATCGAGTGTGGGGCTTGAGATTTTCATCCATGCGGGTAAAGAGCAAACAAATGGGGAATGGTCAAAGTGTTTAGCATAAACTGGTCCCCCCCCCCCCCCCGGTGTTTTTTTGAAGTCTACGTCGTGGATCTGAATTCCAAGTCGTGGGCTCGTATGATGGGCTGAGACTAATCAAGCTACTTCCTTTTCCCACGAAGTGGGATTTTGACCCACATCATGGAATTGAGGTTTTACGCTTCAAATGTCCGTTTTTAATATAAAAACCTTAATCTATTTACCACTCAATTTTTTTAGGACCCTACACTTGATTTTCACCAATTTCTTAAATAATTAAGACACTTCGATGATTAATTATCCTACAAATCAATTAAAAGAAATTAGACTAAGTTCAAAAACGAAA